GACTAACTGAGAGAAACAGACTAACTCTACTGACTGAGAGAGAACAGACTCTAACTCTCTACTGACTGAGAGAGAACAGACTAACTCTACTGACTGAGAGAGAACAGACTAAACTCTACTGATGAGAGAGAACGACTACCTCTACTGACTGAGAGAGAAAGACAACTCTACAGACTGAGAGAGAACAGACTAACTCTACTGACTGAGAGAGAGAACAGACTAACTCTACTGACTGAGAGAGAACAGACTAACTCTACTGACTGAGAGAGAACAGACTAAATCTACTGACTGAGAGAGAACAGACTAACTCTACTGACTGAGAGAGAACAGACTAACTCTACTGACTGAGAGAGAACAGACTAACTCTACTGACTGAGAGAGAGAACAGACTAACTCTACTGACTGAGAGAGAGAACAGACTAACTCTACTGACTGAGAGAGAACAGACTAACTCTACAGACTGAGAGAGAGAACAGACTAACTCTACTGACTGAGAGAGAGAACAGACTAACTCTACTGACTGAGAGAGAGAACAGACTAACTCTACTGACTGAGAGAGAACAGACTAACTCTACTGACTGAGAGAGAACAGACTAACTCTACAGACTGAGAGAGAACAGACTAACTCTACTGACTGAGAGAGAACAGACTAACTCTACTGACTGAGAGAGAACAGACTAACTCTACAGACTGAGAGAGAACAGACTAACTCTACAGACTGAGAGAGAACAGACTAACTCTACTGACTGAGAGAGAACAGACTAACTCTACAGACTGAGAGAGAACAGACTAACTCTACAGACTGAGAGAGAACAGACTAACTCTACAGACTGAGAGAGAACAGACTAACTCTACTGACTGAGAGAGAACAGACTAACTCTACTGACTGAGAGAGAGAACAGACTAACTCTACTGACTGAGAGAGAGAACAGACTAACTCTACTGACTGAAAGAGAACAGACTTACGGAGCGTCCACACTACAGCTTCACAAAAAGCTTGGAGCTGGGCGTGTCTGAAGCTTGGGGATTTTATTCAAGCAACGCGACCAACAACCAATCACATGAATCTCCCGCCCCCGACATACAAAGCAAAAACCCCGGGGATTTTATGCGAGCAATATATATATATATAAACTCCCCAAACAGGCGAAACCCTACCAGTTTCACCCACTGTCTCTGCCACCTCCCTCCATGCCTGGTTCCTCCGGTTTGTATCCCGGGAGGTGAAGAGGGTCTGGTCATACAAAACCGGGTGATTTGCTACGCCGATAATTAGTTTCTCCTCCATCTTTTTTTGAAATATAGAAATGAACGGCGGGATATCTCTCCCAGCTTAGACGCGGTTTGATTGGCTAGGGCTTGAGCTGTCAGATTTTCAGAAACGGGATTTGATTGGCTGGCGCTGGCTACTCCGGCGTCTCCGGCGTCTCCGGCCTCCGGCGTCTCCGGCGTCTCCGGCCTCCGGCGTCTCCGGCCTCCGGCGTCTCCGGCGTCTCCGGCGTCTCCGGCGTCAGAAGTTGAACATTGTTCAACTTCTGACGCCGGAGACGGACCGCTATGCTACCCACAATTCAGTTCGGTGAAAAGTGAGGCAACGTAACGTCACCCCATTCAAAGTGAATGGGCAGACGCGCTGGAAACCGTTTTTGAAGCTGTCGAAGCTGTAGTGTGGACGCAGCGTAACTCTACTGACTGAGAGAGAACAGACTAAAAGGTGCTATACTAAATAAATGTATTATTACAGGAAATAAAGGTCTGCGAGGAGCCACTGCTAACCCAGGATATCCAGGCCTGAATGGACCCCCGGGCATCGAAGGGGTCCCAGGACCCCCCGGGCCCTATGGACCACCAGGACCTCCAGGATCGCCCGGACGCTCAGGACCACCAGGATACATCGGGTTCCCCGGAGAAACCGGAGATCAGGTGAGTTAAAGGTCACCTATTATGCAAAATCCTCTTCTTCATGTCTCTTCTACATCAACATGTGTCCCATCTTCTTCACGTCTCTTCTACATCAACATGTGTCCCCTCTTCTTCATGTCTCTTCTACATCAACATGTCTCCCCTCTTCTTCATGTCTCTTCTACATCAACATGTGTCCCCTCTTCTTCATGTCTCTTCTACATCAACATGTGTCCCCTCTTCTTCATGTCTCTTCTACATCAACATGTGTCCCCTCTTCTCCATATCTCTTCTACATCAACATGTGTCCCCTCTTCTTCATGTCTCTTCTACATCAACATGTGTCCCCTCTTCTTCATGTCTCTTCTACATTAACATGTGTCCCCTCTTCTTCATGTCTCTTCTACATCAACATGTGTCCCTTCTTCTCCATGTCTCTTCTACATCAACATGTGTCCCCTCTTCTTCATGTCTCTTCTACATCAACATGTGTCCCCTCTTCTCCATATCTCTTCTACATCAACATGTGTCCCCTCTTCTTCATGTCTCTTCTACATCAACATGTGTCCCTTCTTCTCCATGTCTCTTCTACATCAACATGTGTCCCCTCTTCTTCATGTCTCTTCTACATCAACATGTGTCCCCTCTTCTCCATATCTCTTCTACATCAACATGTGTCCCCTCTTCTTCATGTCTCTTCTACATCAACATGTGTCCCCTCTTCTTCATGTCTCTTCTACATCAACATGTGTCCCCTCTTCTTCATGTCTCTTCTACATTAACATGTGTCCCCTCTTCTTCATGTCTCTTCTACATCAACATGTGTCCCTTCTTCTCCATGTCTCTTCTACATCAACATGTGTCCCCTCTTCTTCATGTCTCTTCTACATCAACATGTGTCCCCTCTTCTTCATGTCTCTTCTACATCAACATATGTCCCCTCTTCTTCATGTCTCTTCTACATCAACATATGTCCCCTCTTCTTCATGTCTCTTCTACATTAACATGTGTCCCCTCTTCTTCATGTCTCTTCTACATCAACATGTGTCCCCTCTTCTTCATGTCTCTTCTACATCAACATGTGTCCCCTCTTCTTCATGTCTCTTCTACATCAACATGTGTCCCCTCTTCTTCATGTCTCTTCTACATCAACATGTGTCCCCTCTTCTTCATGTCTCTTCTACATCAACATGTGTCCCCTCTTCTTCATGTCTCTTCTACATCAACATGTGTCCCCTCTTCTTCATGTCTCTTCTACATCAACATGTGTCCCCTCTTCTTCATGTCTCTTCTACATCAACATGTGTCCCCTCTTCTTCATGTCTCTTCTACATCAACATGTGTCCCTCTTCTTCATGTCTCTTCTACATCAACATGTGTCCCCTCTTCTTCATGTCTCTTCTACATCAACATGTGTCCCCTCTTCTTCATGTCTCTTCTACATCAACATATGTCCCCTCTTCTTCATGTCTCTTCTACATCAACATGTGTCCCCTCTTCTTCATGTCTCTTCTACATCAACATGTGTCCCCTCTTCTCATGTCTCTTCTACATCAACATGTGTCCCCTCTTCTTCATGTCTCTTCTACATCAACATGTGTCCCCTCTTCTTCATGTCTCTTCTACATCAACATGTGTCCCCTCTTCTTCATGTCTCTTCTACATCAATGTCTCTTCTACATCAACATGTGTCCCCTCTTCCTCATGTCTCTTCTACATCAACATGTGTCCCCTCTTCTTCATGTCTCTTCTACATCACCCTGTGTCCCCTCTTCTCCATGTCTCTTCTACATCAACATGTGTCCCCTCTTCTCCATGTCTCTTCTACATCAACATGTGTCCCCTCGTCTTCATGTCTCTTCTACATCAACACGTGTCCCCTCTTCTTCATGTCTCTTCTACATCAACATGTTTCCCCTCTTCTTCATGTCTCTTCTACATCAACATGTGTCCCCTCTTCTTCATGTCTCTTCTACATCAACATTGTCCCCTCTTCTTCATGTCTACTTCTACATCAACATGTGGTCCCCTCTTCTTCATGTCTCTCTCACATCAAACATGTGTCCCCTCTTCTCCATGTCTCTTCTACATCAACATGTGTCCCCTCTTCTTCATGTCTCTTCTACATCAACATGTGTCCCCTCCATGTCATGGCCATTTCTACTGATCATGATGCCATTGTTGAGGTCAGCTAGAATAGATTCACTTTGTTCAATGTTCCAAACTCTCATTGGTTTCTCATCCAGCGTCTCGGTGTAGTATGTGTATGCACTCTCTGTCCTACACGGCTTGTTGGAGCTCCTGCCACCCCCCCCCCCCCCCCCCCTCCCTGTGAGCCCACTGTGCTCTGATTGGTCATCTCGCCCACTCTGTTACTCTGGCATTTGTTAGCAACCAGAAAATGACACCTGGGTGCCGTGATGGCAGGACGTTGTGGGGCTCGCTGCTCCGCCCTTTGAGGCTCGAGGAGCGGACAGTGTGAGCTGGGTTACTGGTGTGGTTTCCTGGTTGCTGCGTGCGGTCTGCGAGACAGCGTGAATGGACGCGGGAAGGGGGGGTGCTGAGGGGGCTGCAGCACCCCCATCTGCGAGGCTCCACTAGTTTTGTTTATTTGTTTACTGTTTATACAATTATATTTGCTGTTAATGTTTTTCTTTGTATTTTATGAACTGTTTAGTTCATGTACAATACTTGTCTACATGCTGCTGTAACAAAGACATTTCCCAAACACGGATCAATAAAATAATATCCTATCTTATTATCTTAAAATACTGATATTTGACATGCAATGAATGAACACTATTGTCTGTTTTTGGTCGCAGGGTGACCTGGGATGTGCAGGGACAGATGGAGAACCCGGTCACCGAGGATGTACCGGATCCAAAGGTAGAAACTCAACCCACCGCAAGACCTTTAAGAATTAAGCAGAAATCTGTCAAATGTTCAAAACTGCATTGTTTCACTGAAATAGCGTCAAAATCACAAAGTGCCATTAAGCGTCAAATTCGTAACGAGTGCTTTTTTTCTAGTTTTAAGCTTTTATCCATAAAAGTGTATCTTTCAGTAACTTTTTTGAGAGAATTAAGCAAAAAATGTGTCAAATGTTCAAAAGGGCATTGTCTCCCTGTAACAGCCTTAAAAACACAAACTGCCATCAAAGAAACCCAAATCCTTACAAAGTGCTTCATATTCTACCAGTTGAAAAGTGTTGCCTGTATTAAAGTGTACTTATAAGTGTTGTGTTCAAGAAAGAAGCAACAATCCTTGAAGTTGACAAAACGGCTTTGTTTCACTGAAATAGCGTCAAAATCACAAAGTGCCATTGAGAGTCCCGTTCTCCCTGTAACTGCCTTAGTGCGGGTTTGTTGTGTCATGTTTCTATTTGTGCCTCAGGTGATGAGGGAGACTCAGTTGGTGTTTTCGGTCCGCCTGGAGACAAGGGGCCTCCTGGAGACTTCGGTGCACAAGGTGACGATCTGGTTCTGCAGCAAAAGTCAGATTAGAGAAGGCTCTTTCCATTATTGAAAAATGATGTGTGTGATTCGGATCTGCTTTAAGGGAATCTTCCTCGGCCAAGTTTCATTCAAATTGGACTACGTCATTTTCTGTAGTTCTGCTGACAGATGGACAAACCAACAAAACAGGAAACACTAGAGTTAACCATTTAGATATTTAGATCTATAGACAAACGAATATTAGAAGAATACATGACTTCATTGGTTAAATACTGGTTACATTTTGACCTCAAACTCAAAAGTTATTGAATATCTGAAAACCGTTAGATTAACCATGATGTGAATTTCTGGATGAATCAGCTGTTCTCTTTCTCAGGAGCTCCTGGACTTCGAGGAGATCCTGGAAGAGCCGGTTTCTCTGGGGATTCAGGAGAGAGAGGATGTAAAGGAGATCCAGGCGATGGCGGGGATCTGGGCCCACCAGGTAGTGAAGCTCATCAAGCCTTTACACCGTGTTACGCTAACATGATGCTAGCTTAGCTTACAATAGATATGGACTACGGAAAAGAAGAAACTTCAACTATTAAGTGTTTGAAAACCTTTATGTAAGAAACAAAGTGAAGTATAAACACCTGCAGTTCCTCAAATGGCCACTTGAGGATGTCCAATGTTAAAATGCGTAAAGCAGACAGCCTGGAACCAATCGGTTTTGGTCTCTAAAGCTAATCTATAAATTCATGACAAGGAGAGTAAATTATTATATACAGAGGTGGTAGAAGTACTCAGATCTTGTACTTTAGTAAAAGTAGAAGTACTCAGATCTTGTACTTTAGTAAAAGTAGAAGTACTCAGATCTTGTACTTTAGTAAAAGTAGAAGTACTCAGATCTTGTACTTGAGTAAAAGTAGAAGTACTCAGATCTTGTACTTGAGTAAAAGTAGAAGTACTCAGATCTTGTACTTGAGTAAAAGTAGAAGTACTCAGATCTTGTACTTTAGTAAAAGTAGAAGTACTCAGATCTTGTACTTGAGTAAAAGTAGAAGTACTCAGATCTTGTACTTGAGTAACAGTAAAAGTACTCAGATCTTGTACTTTAGTAAAAGTAGAAGTACTCAGATCTTGTACTTTAGTAAAAGTAGAAGTACTCAGATCTTGTACTTTAGTAAAAGTAGAAGTACTCAGATCTTGTACTTGAGTAAAAGTAGAAGTACTCAGATCTTGTACTTGAGTAAAAGTAGAAGTACTCAGATCTTGTACTTTAGTAAAAGTAGAAGTACTCAGATCTTGTACTTGAGTAAAAGTAGAAGTACTCAGATCTTGTACTTGAGTAACAGTAAAAGTACTCAGATCTTGTACTTGAGTAAAAGTAGAAGTACTCAGATCTTGTACTTGAGTAACAGTAGAAGTACTCAGATCTTGTGCTTGAGTAAAAGTAGAAGTACCCAGATCTTGTACTTGAGTAAATGTACTTAGTTCTTTTCCACAATGTGACTAATATTTTATTCTGTATAAAATGACCCTAGTTCCTCTACCTGTCTCTCTGTCTGGTTCCAGGTGTGGTCGGCCCCTCCGGTCCCAGAGGTCGTCCGGGTCTTCCAGGTCTTCCAGGTACAGCTGGTGCTGACGGTCCTCCAGGTCCTCAAGGCTTCCTGGGACTCCAAGGTCAGAACTTTCTAAACCTGCTGTCATGTCAGCCATGTTAGGTTATTGTCCTACTAAATAACAGTGTCAAGTAAATAGAAAGAATAAATAGCCCTCCTCTTTTTCCTTCAGTGGAGGGGGAGTTTAATTTGAGGTAGGGTTACCCACTACAGGTCCTTTAAACACTCAACGGGAATCTGGATCACGAGAAACCCAGAACACATTTGATCAAATCCTGTTCCAATCTCATCAAGATGTAAATAAGATATGTCCAGTTTGATCAGCTGACTCTTCCTGCTATCTGAAGCTGCCTTTTCAAAATAAAAGCTCCAGATAAGCCAATCCTGTTATGACGTTATACTGAACAAAGAAAACAAAATGACTTTACCTTTGATTTGTTTCAATGCGTCAGGTCCTCCTGGTCCGCTGGGGCTGCACGGACTGGATGGACTGAAAGGTGTAAAGGGGGACATGGGAACCAGAGGTATGAGTCTCTCTCCCTCTCACTCACACACACACACACACACACACACACACACCACACACACACACACACACACACCCCCCACACACACACACCACACACACACACACACACACACACACACACACACACACACACACACACACACACACACACACACACACCACACACACACACACACACAAACACAGACGCACACACACACACACACACACAAACACATACTCACACACACACACACACACACACACACACACACACACACACACACACACACACACACACACAAACACAGACGCACACAGCTTCAATCGGACATTCATTCTCAGGAGATTTATTCTAACCCTGAATTGTGACGTTGTGGGGACCTCCAGTTTGCACCTTAAACAGAGGACACACACACACACACACACACACACACACACACACACACACACACACACACACACACACACACACACACACACACACACACACACACACACACACAATACAATACAATCACAAGTCAGTTGCTAAAGACATCAAGTAAACGTGAAACAAACAATAAGACCACCATTTTGACTCGTAGAAGGGTCTGGATTATAACCGTTTATACTGGTCTCAGTTCAGCTGGTAAGAGGTCTTGGTGATCACAATGATATCGTGTGTCTTTCTGTTCAGGTTTGGGTGTTCCAGGACCTCCAGGATCCAAGGGTCTTCCAGGTGATAAAGGTCCTACAGGTCCTTCGGGACCCTATGGTTCATCCCAGCCCGGCCCACCAGGACCCCGGGGCCCTCCAGGAGCCCAAGGTCTGTATCAGAATGATCCCCATCAGGGTCTAGACGTGATTGAGCTGCAGGGATTTAGCTTAGTGTAGTGACTTTTGAACCTAATCTATACTGAAGCCACTGAGGGATGCGAACGGGAGAACTTTGTTCAGACGTGTGTTCCAGACGAGTCGTATATCTTTCAATCTAGTATCAATCCATGTATTTTGTGTTCAATATGCAAGTAAGTTCCAAAGCTCCTTTCCTATCATCTGGAGAATTCGAACAGCTCTTCTCATGACTCTAACACCTAGGAACTCATGACTCTAACACCTAGTTACCTTCCTAACGGAGTGAAATGACCCGGAAGCCCCTCAGTGGCAGCCATGATAAGAGCGGTTTGAATTCTCTAGGTGATAGGAAAGGAGCTTTGGAACTTCCTTTATAACCTCCTTTAGCTTAGGAAACATTTAGACCTGAGGAAGGGTGACGACGAGCATACGTTTCACTTTCCTCTTTTATTTCAATTCCAGCTTTGGTCCTGAAGAATCTGTTTCTCTGTTGTCCACGTTCATAAAGCATAAAGCAGCAGCATCAGAGCACAGAGTCTCTAGATGAGTTCACAGGAGTCCCTCGTTCTTATTGAACATCCATGTTGTAGTCCGCTGTATAGAGAACTGTAGTCTCCATAGTTTCCCCACAGCAGCAGACGCTCATTCAGGACGTCCGCTGGCGCATCAGAAACACGTGGGATAGTTAAAGTGCAGTCGATTCTCTAAAGTACCGCGGTCTCTTCTCCTAAGTCCTTTTGAATTCTCCTATCCACTATCCCTTAACCCGTGACCTTTCACACAGGTCGAGGAGTAGTGGAGAGGAGAAGACGATAGGAGCTGATTTTTGGACAATTCCACTGCAACCCTTGTCAGTAACAGGGTCTATGTGTTGTTGTTGTTGTTGTTGTAGGACCACCGGGGGGGCTGGGTCCTAAGGGTACATCTGGACCGGACTGTAAAGCTCCGATCCCGGGGCCTCGAGGAGAACCTGGGTGTGCCGGGACAGATGGAGAGCCAGGTCAGACTTCAGGTTTAACCCTGTTATAATGAAATAAAGAACTCCATAACCAAAGCCTTCACTGCAGCAGAAAGTGATGGTGATATGAAGTCATGTGACCATGCTGTGTAGTCCATATATATATGTTAGCGTTTAACTTCTGTGGATTGCATTCAGCTAAATCAAGTATTCTGGTTTTCCACGATGTCCTTATGTACGTGAATAATAATTTTAATTTGATGATTGCATTTTTTTAAATGTATGACACAACTTCAGTACCTGAATAATTATTATGGTTTGCCGGGTTTGACCAACATTACCGTTTAACTTTACTAACTTTGAAACGTTCTGAGATAAGCTCAAATACTAATGTGCACTTTATTGGACAATTTCCATTGCAGGGTTTAACAGGTCAACAACTGGATGACCTTTGACCTTTTGCTTGATGTTTTAGGATGTGCTGGTGAGACTGGGGAACCAGGTGAGAACACTCCGGTGCCTGGAGATGACGGAGAGAACGGGGACACAGGCTGCCCGGGGCCAAAGGGCCAAATGGGATCTCAGGGGCCCCCAGGACAGCCAGGGCTCTCTGGGAATCCAGGAGACAAAGGTCAGTCTCCAAAGTAAACTACGACATGACTCAGCATTTTACCACTTCCTGTCCCCTGGTCTGGAGGTCAATGGTTTTCTGAACGTGTTTTTGGTTGTTATCGTGAAATAAAGTCTGTGGTTGACACAAGTTGAAGATGTTTTAAAGTTTTGTTCTACCACATAAAATACGTCAGTAAATATCCCACTGGTGGGTTTAGAAATGGAGGTGGATAAGAAGAGTCTAAATGTTACGACTAAACATCATCACACCCAAAATTAGCCTCCTTTAGCTTAGCGGTCGTGAAGTCATGTGACCGTGATATAGTTCCATAAACATTGTGTGTGTGTGTGTGTGTGTGTGTGTGTGTGTGTGTGTGTGTGTGTGTGTGTGTGTGTGTGTGTGTGTGTGTGTGTGTGTGTGTGTGTGTGTGTGTGTGTGTGTGTGTGTGTGTGTGTGTGTGTGTGCAGGTATTCAGGGGTCTTCAGGTCTGATGGGACTGCCAGGAACTCGGGGGCCTCAAGGTTTTACGGGTCCCGGAGGGTTTCCAGGACCGAAGGGATCTTCTGGTCCGGTGGGTCCAAAGGGGGAGCAGGGCCGCGTGTCCCCCTGCCCCACGTACCCCCCCTCCACCCAGGGGCCCTCAGGGGACCCCGGGCCCCCCGGGACACCTGGAGATATCGGCTTTCTGGGAGAAATGGGTCGGACCGGCCCCAAAGGTGAGGGACCGCTACACAACTAGCCCTCTGGTGCACAGATGTAGAGTTTTAAAGGTCTCCTGTTATACGTAGTCATACGTTATGGGTCTCAGATATATGAAAAACATGTCTGTGAAGTGTTTTGCTCAATATACCAAACCGATCATGCATTTTAAACATCCCTCATGTCCCTCTGTTTCAGCGCTGTTACTAAAGTGCTGATTCTGGGTCTAAAGCATAATTGGGGGGGGGGGGTCATTCAGGAGAATTCTACCAGCAGATACTCGGCTAAATGCTGCCATGATTAAACCCCATATCATGTTTAAAAGCATCAAGGATTATTTCTGAAACAGTATCTTTAGCGACGCTAATGTGAACTCAGAGCTTATTCCATCTCACGTCGCTTTAGACGCGTTTATCCAAAGCGACTCACACGATCAATACTTTCCAAAACACAGCGTGCATTGTTTCTGACGGAAACTTGTATGTGTGTTTCAGGTAGAAAGGGGGACCTGGGTCCTGAGGGTCCAACAGGCCCTGGGGGGTCTTTAGGTCCAGATGGAGACCGAGGAGATCTGGGCCTTCAGGGGGAGCGAGGATCAGTAGGAGGGAAAGGTGAGACCCCAACACACTGTCGCAAAACATTCTCTTGCATTATTTTATCAGTTTTATTTGTTTTATGTCCTTTATATATTCATGTTGCTCTGTTGGAGGAGGACTTGATTGATATCCTGTGTGTTGGGAAAACACTGAGTGTGCTCCTCCAACATGAGAGTAGCATGCTAACAGAGGTATGAACTGTAGCAGTGAACATGACAGGATGTGTGATTACCTAGAAGAGCATCAGGACTGTTTGAGGCAGATGATAGCTATGTGATTAACATGATGATTCAGCCTCTATGGAGAGAGACATCAAGCATGCTCATTTCTGACGTGGAGCTAATCTGAAGTAAACATTGAATACTGCTTTCTACTCCTCCATCTTGTGACTGTGTAACTCCCTCTCTTGGATATCAGCATGTGAAGGACACTGTTCAGGAACTAGTCTCTGTATGTGATGACTCCTTCTGGAGAGGATCACAGACACATGGATCCTGAGATGAAGCTCAAGCCGGGGACCAGGGAGATTTCTCTAACAATGTGGATCTAAATTCCTGTTGCTTTATGTTTTTGTGTGTCTCAGGTGATCCCGGGCCAATGGGTGACCGCGGACCCTCCGGACCCCCCAAGCAGGTGAACTCTGGCTTCATGTTGGTGATGCACAGCCAATCAAAGCTGATCCCCACCTGTCCAATCAACATGAGGGTCCTGTGGGTGGGATACAGCCTGCTGTACCTGGAGGGGCAGGAGAAGGCGCACACTCAGGACCTGGGTATACATCTAGCTTCGATCCAATCCAAATCACAATGCATCAACCATGGGGATACAAACTCAGAATAGCAAGAAACCTGCTTCAAATAAGACAATAGTCAGCTGCAAATATGCTTTGACCCCAAACAAATTGCAACAAAAGGTTTTTCAATGGATTATTTTAGTGTCAGGTACTTAATGACATACTAAAAGTCTACCCAAATCTGACCACTGCAAAGGTCTAGAAATCCATTGGACGTGTTCAATAATATGATTACATAATGTTTAAATCCAATATTCAGATTGTTGAGGATTTCATGAAGCCTTGTTCCAGTAAGGAATTTTCGGCCATCTTGGACGCCATCTTGAAAATGACACATTTCTGGTGGTCAGATTCTGGTAGACTTGTAGTTTGTTATTAGGACACATAATACTACGCAACTGTTAAGAAACCTTTTGTTGCCATTTGGGTAATGTGTTTGTCTTCATATATGCAGCTGCCTGCAAAGGATTGTAAATGTTAAGTGTCACAGGTGCATCGGTCATTCCTCTCATGGGTGGAAGGTATTTAGTGTGTGGACGACAACGAGGGGGAGCTAGGCTAGCTAGTGTTACTTCCCTTATTAAACATCAGGATCAAGAACTTCAGCACGGACTCTTCTTGTTTGAGCCTCTCGGCGTCTCCAAGGATCTTTTCTCCGCTTGTTATTCTGGGACTGCTCCCTCCTGATTCTATTTCTATGACTGTTGTTTCCAGGTCAGGCGGGCTCTTGCATGAGGGTCTTCTCCACGATGCCCTTCTCCTCCTGTAACATGGGCACCTGCTCCTACGCCAGTCGAAACGACAAATCCTATTGGCTGTCGACCACGGCGGCGGTGCCCAGCTTCCCAGTGGGCGGAGCCTCCATCGAGGAGCACATCAGTCGGTGTGCTGTGTGTGAAGCCGCCTCGTCTCCAGTGGCTCTGCACAGCCAGAGCTCCTCCCGGCCCGAATGCCCCCCGCGGTGGAGGAGCCTGTGGAGCGGTTACTCCTTCCTAATGGTGGGTACTGGGGAGGACTTTTACAATACTTTTTTATCAAATATTCTGACATTTTTTTCAAAATCTCAAAAATTATGAATTTTTAAAAAAAGTTTAAGAATTCTGACTTTTATTTTCAAAACATTAGACTTTTTTTCAAATTCTCACTTTTCACATCATACGTGATAGACTAAGGGAAGGGACAACTCTAAGCTGGTTGACCAATCCCAATAGAGCCGGCCAGCTAACCAATCAGAGCAGACTGGGCTGTGGTTTCAGACAGAGGGTGAAAAGAGGTGCCTTAGTGAAGGAAATGTCTGCAGGAAGTCAGTGGAACGCCTCACGATGATGTCATTTCCTGTGTGCGTTGCAGCATACGGGAGCAGGGGATGAGGGCGGCGGCCAGTCTCTCACGTCCTCAGGAAGCTGTCTGAAGGACTTCAGAGCCCAACCCTTCGTGGAGTGCCAGGGGCCCCGAGGAACCTGCCACTACTTCGCCAACATCTACAGTTTCTGGCTGACCCGCGTGGAGGCCTCCGTAAGCTCCGCCTCCTCCGACAGCGCCTCCTCCACGCTGAAGGAGAGCTGGCAGCAGAGGGAGAGCATCGGGAGGTGCAACGTCTGCATGAGGGAATGAGGAGGAGGAGCTTATCGCTGACAACCAATCAGGGCAGTTTCTAGCTGTTTGGGGGCCCTATTCATCTCAAACTACAATGGGGGGATTCTGAAGCCTTTAAGACAGGGGTGTCCAAACTACATTTGAATCGGCCCTCAGCTAATTCTGAAAGTATAATGTAATACTGCCCACAAATGAAACTAGGGCGTGTCTTGTATTGTACTTCTTAAATATATCTGTAAACATATATTACACAGTAGTATTCATGTGTTAATGAGACACTTTCAGTCAATTGAAGTTGAAAATATGTTCTAACAAATCTAAGCTGATAAGAAAAAAGCCCAATAACTTATTTAAATAACAACCTTGAAATATACCCTTCAAATGTCCTCTGACCATAATCACTCTGAAGCTTCTGCTTCAAGGGGTGCGCTGCTAGCACAATAGGCTGTTGTATCAAGCATCATTGACTTACATTAGATTGATTTAGCTAACCTATAACTTCCCTTATGAGGCAGTAAACCTCACCGTTAGTGAGCGGCCCTGCCCTTCGAATATTTGTCTCTATGTGAAAAGAGTTTGGACCCCCCTGCTTTAAGAGGATCTGTGGAGACGCATCAATCTGTTACACTTTCAGAGGAAAACTAATTTCACGAAAACCAAGCAATTGAAACGTATTAAAAAGGTAAACAATAAGGCTCCTGTACGTCAATACATGCAAGGGATGCAGCATCATTTACATTGTTCATCTTCCTCAGACGTCACTCATTGGCTGACAGCCCAACGATGATTTGGACGTTATCACCCCACACACAAGCTGTCGTTGCAGTTTCGTCGTGTTTATATCCTACATTAGATTGTTAAGCATATAACGCTTCACCGAACACAGGAGGGGGCTCGGCTGTCTACAAAGAAAGACGGCTCATTTGAATTCTCCCCAAATGTATTGAGGCTGAACCTGAACGTGCAGCTTGGGGGCATCCGCATAGTCCGCCTATAGGAAGGAACGGCCCGGCAGCCAACCAATCAGAGCTGTTCATCAGGAGAGCGCAGACTGCTTCATTCTGTCGTTACAGAGGACACTGAGCGGTCGGTTTCTTCATGTTTGATCTGCAACTTTTACACTTGAATACGAACTCTACGGGATGAGATATGTACGGAGGGCGACAGGTGCAGACGTGCTACAACGACCCAAATCTCCTCGATCAGGAGAAACGCTGCAGCTTCAGAAAGGATGCAGATATAAAAACACAAGTGTTCCACATGAAGAAACATCTTCAGCAACAACACCTGCAGCGTCTAGAGAACATCCAGCAGCTTGAGGAGACATGGCAGCGTTTAGAGAACATCCAGCAGCTTGAGGAGACATGGCAGCGTTTAGAGAACATCCAGCAGCTTGAGGAGACATGGCAGCGTTTAGAGAACACTCCAGCAGCTTGAGGAGACATGGCAGCGTTTAGAGAACACCCAGCAGCTTGAGGAGACATGGCAGCGTCTAGAGAACATCCCAGCAAGCTTGAGGGAGACATGGCAGCGTCTAGAGAACATCCAGCAGCTTGAGGAGACATGGCAGCGTTTAGAGAACATCCAGCAGCTTGAGGAGACATGGCAGCGTTTATAGAACACTCTCGCAGCTTGAGGAGACATGGCAGGCTTTAGAGAACACTCCAGCAGCTTGAGGGAGACATGGCAGCGTTTATAGAACATCCAGCAGCTTGAGGAGACATGGCAGCGTTTAGAGAACATCCAGCAGCTTGAGGAGACATGGCAGCGTTTAGAGAACATCAGCAGCTTGATGAGACATGTGCAGCGTTTAGGAACATCCAGCAGCTTGAGGAGACATGGCAGCCGTTTAGAGAACATCCAGCAGCTTGAGGAGACATGGCAGCGTTTAGAGAACATCCAGCAGCTTGAGGAGACATGGCAGCGTTTAGAGACATCCAGCAGGTTGAGGAGACATGGCAGCGGTTTTAGAGAACATCCAGCAGCTTGAGGAGACATGGCAGCGTTTAGAGAACATCCAGCAGCTTGAGGAGACATGGCAGCGTTTAGAGAACATCCCAGCAGCTTGAGGAGACATGGCAGCGTTTAGAGAACATCCAGCAGCTTGAGGAGGACATGGCAAGCGTTTAGAGAAACATCCAGCAGCTTGAGGAGACATGGCAGCGTTTAGAGAACATCCAGCAGCTTGAGGAGACATGGCAGCGTTTATAGAACATCCAGCAGCTTGAGGAGACATGGCAGCGTTTAGAGAACATCCAGCAGCTTGAGGAGACATGGCAGCGTTTAGAGAACATCCAGCAGCTTGAGGAGTGTTGTTTTTATATGTGCATCCTTTCTGAAGCTGCAGCGTTTCTCCTGATGGCACCTGTCCACCTAACGGCTTAAATTAGTATAATAATTTAAATTCCAGTCAAATGTATTCAAACACCATTAAAGTGGAAACTCAAAGCTTAGTCCCTGTGAGGAGAGACTGTCCGAAAGATAACGCTACCAATCAATCCGTTGTGTTCAGATTACCAGGAGAGCAAAGAGTGCTTTAATGAATGCATTAAACGTCAATACGGACACGAGGCTGCATTCAAATTGAAATGTATTCGATCACCTTTAAAGAGACAACCCTAACCCGAACAAATCAGGAGAAAATGTACTTTGTTCAGAACTTCAGGCTAAAGACGTCTGATGCCTGATGCCTGCTGATGTCCAGGTGTATATCGATATGTAGAGTCTCTACTGGGACATGTCTGCTTGCTTTATTGTTCAAAAAGCTCTTTATTTTTCTCATACTGCCAGCTGATTGGTTGGTGGCGTTGTCGTGACGTTCTCTCCTCATCAGAAAAATGGCGTGAGATCACCTGAGGTAACGATGGCCCCGCTCACAGCCCCGGATGTATTATAAGAGCTGGACACCGGAATACAAGAGGGCGCCTTTCAGTAACATTTTGAATGCAGTACTTTTACTGTTCAGCGTATTGTACTCAAGTACAAGATCTGAGTACTTCAAGATCTGAGTACTTCTACTTTTACTCAAGTACAAGATCTGAGTACTTCTACTTGTACTCAAGTACAAGATCTGAGTACTAATACTTTTACTCAAGACCTGAGTACTTCTTCACCTCTGGAACTGTCCCTTTAACCTAGAAGCGTTAAACGTTAGCTAACGTTAGCAAACAAATGTTGGTAATGCTAAACATGTCTGAAAGCTGTGAAAATATCAAAACAAAGAACAAATACATTCTCTAAAGCATTAAATGGCATTTTTCAGAAGGAGAAATCTGGAGAAACTTATATATGTTTGAACAATTTTCTGGTTTGTAATGCTAACACAGAGTGCTAACATTAGCTAAACTTAGCTTTCTAGCTAACGTCAATTAGACGACGCCCTAGCTAACTCATATTCATGATGCTAAACACGTGCGTTAGCTGTTTTAATGTCCATGTTAGCCTTATAAGATATAAATACATCAGACCACACTCATTTAGGAGACTGAGCTAATGCTAATGAGCTAAACCTATATTCTGAATGCTAAACGTGTTAGCTGTGTAAATATCTAATGCTAATAGACCACGCCCATTTAGAAAACGGGAAGTGTTTACCATTACATAACATTGGTGCCCTCTTTACTCGTTGAGGTTTTTTGGCGGTTTCCAGTTCTTATAATACATCCCTCCCAACCAGAACTGCACTGAGAGTCATTGATTGGTCGGCCCAGAGGCAGCGACTGCGTGTGATTGGTCAGTCAGTATTTTGTTAATAAGCAGGCAGAGAATCGTTTGAGAAACTGTGAATATATTTGACTTTAAACCTTGTTTTCCCCCAGTTTTCTTTCAAACAGCAAATGTTCTCCCGATTTGTTTTCTTGGGTTTCAGTGTAAAAAACCAGGAGAGTTGAGAAACATCTGAACAGAACCAGAACCGGACACTTCTTTCAGTTTAATCTGTGTTTTATTTGTGTTAGAATATTTATCCTCTTTAAATAAACTAAAGGTTTGTAGTCGCGGTCACAAAACAACCTGTGTGACTTCCTGTTACGTTTTCTTTAATAACATTTGTTTTTATTTGATCTCTGGTTCTGTATTATCTCTCTGTGATTTGTAAATATGTTTGAACTCGACCGTTTTATATTTCTACTGTAAATGTCATCAAAGTATTTATTTAGCCTGAGATTAATGTTGGTGCTATTTGATGTCTCATTTGTTTATGTTTGTTTTATTTTGGTAAATGATGACACGGCGAAACCCCGCCCCCTTTCCTCCCCTCTTCCAAAGTCAAATGCACGAGGATAATTGAGTTAATGAGACACTGGTTTGAAACCAGGCTTCTCTGTTACCTGAGGGGCAGGTGTTGTCATGTTTTGTTTTTGTATTTAAATCTGTCGGTGATATTTTAATCTCTAGGAGAAAATTCTCACTAACACATTTTACTCTCTCTGACGACTATTCAATAAATTGCATCAAAGTTTTAGTCAATGGTCTTTATTTTCGTCCTCAAATGAAGACATTTCAAGCAGAAACACGAGAAATACATCTTGTTTTTATTTCTAAATATTTGGGAACAATTCTGGAAAACATTCTTAAAATATCAGTAAATATATATATTTTCTAAAAGAGCCAATATAATATCCAGGGGCGTTTCCTGGACCTGGAAACATTTGGGGCTTAGCCCTCAGTGGCGGCGCCAGAGATTTATTTTGGGGGTGCTGTGGGGTAGCTTGACGTTTCATAGAGGGTGCTCCAACATGTGGGGCTTCACATTAAGGTACCGGGCGCTACGGTGGAATGTTCTACTGCAACACACACACACACACACACACACACACACACACACACACACACACACACACACACACACACACACACACACACACACACACACACACACACACACACACTAGTCTCTCCTCAGGAACCATCACACACACACACGATTGATAAAATGAAGGCTCGATAATCAGCTCACGGCATATAGGTGTAAGCAGGGGTAAAGTTGGTGGACCTCACCTCCTCTAGGGGGGTCCTCACCTCCTCTAGGGGGGGCCTCACCTCCTCTAGGGGGGTCCTCACCTCCTCTGGGGGGGTCCTCACCTCCTCTAGGGGGGTCCTCACCTCCTCTAGGGGGGGCCTCACCTCCTCTAGGGGGGTCCTCACCTCCTCTGGGGGGGTCCTCACCTCCTCTGGGGGGGTCCTCACCTCCTCTAGGGGGGTCCTCACCTCCTCTAGGGGGGCCTCACCTCCTCTGGGGGGGTCCTCACCTCCTCTAGGGGGGTCTTCACCTCCTCTAGGGGGGCCTCACCTCCTCTAGGGGGGTCTTCACCTCCTCTAGGGGGGCCTCACCTCCTCTGGGGGGGTCCGGGGGCATACTCCCCCGGGAATATTATTTTTTAAATATTCAAATTAAAAGCATCAATCTAGGAAGTACAAAGGAACTCACCTTGTGGTATAACCGGCAAGAGAGAAAGCCTTTGAGCTCCAAACTGTTTCAGAGAGAATCCTTGATAATCCATGATATGGCGTTTCATCACCGCAGCATTTAGCTTAGACCAGGGGTAGCCAACACGTTGCCCGCGGGCACTTAGTCGCCTGTGGGGCATGTTCTACAAATAGCTCGCCAAGCAAATCCAAAATGTAAAAAATACACAAAACAAAAAAGGAAATGTAATTAAAAGAATCTACCCTATGCATAAACAAAACCTCAATCATAGCGAACTCTATCTATTTACAACTATATATCTATCTAACACCCCTCCTCCCCCACAATGAATAACCTTTGAAAGTAGCTCTCATCCTAAAAAAGGTTGGAGACCCCTGGTTTAGACAGTAGCTGCCGGGTCCCCCATGAGCTCAGCCCCCTCCTTTTAAAAAAAAGCTTTATACCCCAAATAAGAACTTTGTATTATATCAATGAGGGAGAATTGTCCTGGGCTAGAGCTGAAGCCCCGAAGGCCCAGGCGACGCCACTGATAATATCCAAAAGAAAGAGAAAGCTGGAAGAAGAAGAAGCTGCAGTTGAAGTCTCTTTCCTGCAGGGGGCGCTCTCTGCTCTCAGTCACCCCGGAGATGATGTACATTTGCCGGGTAGGTCTGAGGGTCATGGGGCCCACATGTTCTAAAAAACAAATGTGTAAAAAATATAGAAACTAATTTCCCAAAAACCTGTGGAAAATGACCCAAATACTGCATATATGAGAATAGTCGAAAAAGTCATGACAATTGTGGGAAAAAGTCAGAAAATATGGGTGAAATGTCCAAAAAACTATTGAAAAATGTTCGATAATATAGAATAACATCACATTTTGGGGGGATTTGTGTGAAATGTGAAAAGTTTCGGGAATTGTTTAGATGTGAAATATATACGAACATTTTAAATGTTGAAAAATATATGAAAAAGTGTCAAATATTTGTATAAAAGGTTTAAAAAACAGTGAAACATTTCGTAAACAAGTGAAATATTTCCGAAAAGAAAGTCCCAAAAATGTGTTGATGGTGCTGCAGTCTCCGTCCTGCAGGGGGCGCTCTCCCCCGACTCTCTACTCTCAGTGTCCCCGGAGATGATGCACCTTCCCCGGGTCACAGGGTCACCAACATGGCGTGGAGGAGCTGCTCGGTTCTGCTCAGACTCACCGGAGAAGATGCTCTACGGAGCTCCGCGAGGGGCGGCAGGTCAGTCACCGCATTCGAAAACAGGCTGCATTTCCCGGCCAACAGACAGACGGAGCCCCGCTGCTTGGAGTTAGCATGTTAGCTTCTGAAGGACGCTTAGACTTAGCTGGGTGTTAGCAGCTAATTGTAGCATGGTGGCTAACAGCAGTTTGTTATGATCAGAGGTGAAGAAGTACTCAGGTGTTGTACTTCAGTAAAAGTAGAAGTACTCAGATCTTGTACTTGAGTAAAAGTACTCAGATCTTGTAGGCTACTTGAGTACAAGTAGAAGTACTCAGATCTTGTACTTGAGTAAAAGTAGAAGTACTCAGATCTTGTACTTGAGTAAAAGTACTCAGAGTACTCAGAGGCTACTTGAGTACAAGTAGAAGTACTCAGATCTTGTACTTGAGTAAAAGTAGAAGTACTCAGATCTTGTACTTGAGTAAAAGTAGAAGTACTCAGATTGTACTTGAGTAAAAGTAGAAGTACTCAGATCTTGTACTTGAGTAAAAGTAGAAGTACTCAGATCTTGTACTTGAGTAAAAGTAGAAGTACTCAGATCTTGTACTTGAGTAAAAGTAGAAGTACTCAGTACTTGAGTAAAAGTAGAAGTACTCAGATCTTGTACTTGAGTAAAAGTAGAAGTACTCAGATCTTGTACTTGAGTAGTAGAAAAGTAGAAGTACTCAGATCTTGTACTTGAGTAAAAGTAGAAGTACTCAGATCTTGTACTTGAGTAAAAGTAGAAGTACTCAGATCTTGTACTTGAGTAAAAGTAGAAGTACTCAGATCTTGTACTTGAGTAAAAGTAGAAGTACTCAGATTGTACTTGAGTAAAAGTAGAAGTACTCAGATCTTGTACTTGAGTAAAAGTAGAAGTACTCAGATCTTGTACTTGAGTAAAAGTAGAAGTACTCAGATCTTGTACTTGAGTAAAAGTAGAAGTACTCAGATCTGGTACTTGAGTAAAAGTAGAAGTACTCAGATCTTGTACTTGAGTAAAAGTAGAAGTACTCAGGTCTTGTACTAGAGTAAAAGTAGAAGTACTCAGGTCTTGTTCTTGAGTAAAAGTAGAAGTACTCAGATCTTGTACTTGAGTAAAAGTAGAAGTACTCAGATCTTGTTCTTGAGTAAAAGCAGAAGTACTCAGATATTGTTCTTGAGTAAAAGTAGAAGTACTCAGATCGTGTACTTGAGTAAAAGTAGAAGTACCAGAGTGTAGGAATACTCTGTTACAGTCAAAGTCCTCATTCAAAATGTTCCTCAAGTGAAAGTAGAAAAGTATTCTCATCTAAATATAGTGAAAGACAGTAAAAGTAGTCGTTGTGCAGATTGGTCCATTTCAGAATAATATATATGATATGTTTTATAATGATTGATCATGAAAGTGTTCTCAAAGCTGGTGAAGGTGCAGCTAGTTTGAAGTACTTTGTATACTGCAGGGTAGCTGGTGGATTTACTCCAGGTGGAACTAAAGTCTGATTCAACACTTGATTAGATTTCACATCATCCAGGTCTGTGAAGTAACTGAAGGTATTAAATACATGTAGAGGAGGAAAAGTACAAAGTAGCATAATAGTGGAAAAACTCAAGTAAAGTACAAGTACCTCTAAATTGTACTTAAAGGTGGGGTATGTAATTCACTTCAGATACACTTGTTGTTATCTTCCATGGAATGCTCTTAACATCCCGATAGCAATGAATATCTGAAGTGCTTTGAAGCCGTGGCGCTGTAGAAAGCTCGACCAATCATCTGAGCCGGCTAAAGTAACTGGATGGCCTACCTGCCTGTCAGCCTTCCATCTGGGCACAGACTGATCTCGTGCCTCATTGGTCATGACCCTGTGTGTTGGAGGAGGGGCTCTGTGAGGAAGGGGCAGATTTTTCCGGCTGTGTATTTTCAAATTCTAGCGCACTCGAGCTGCTTTCTCCAAAATGACCGACCCCACCTTTAAGTGCTTCGATAGTGTCCCTCCGGCCCGGAGCATTCGTCCAAAGAAATCGACTAATAATGAAGAAAATTAACACATTTGTTGCAATAGTAATGTATGCACTAACTACATTACTACAACATTTGAATCATCAGTTCTTCCTCATTTTCCTCAATTGTTCATATTTGGTTTATTAAAATAATGATATTGTGGTCATTGTTAAAAAATGTCTGCTATTATTATGAGTGTTATTATTTGTATAATGCACTTTCTGCCTTCCTGTCATCAGGAGTTAGAAATGTAATGGCTATAGATTAGATCCTTCATTCTCCTGCTGGGACATTTCCCTAAAGCCAATACCTTTATATTGTCTACTCTTCACTCACTGTCAGCATAGGTCGGCATTGATGCACAGAGCCGACAGAAGACCTTGTTTATATGGCATCATATTGAGAGGTGCAGTGACGCGTCCTAAAACCAGGAAGTAAGCTGCTGGTTCCCTCCACAGAAAGCAATGGGATTTCTCCACAGGGTTTTGGAAAATAGCTGGAAATAAGGTCTGTGGAAAACAAACCTGTTTGATAAATGCACGTTTTGTTCAGCCGGATAATCTCCACATGTCTACCCTACTTTTATAATGTTCGAATCATAAATCTAATCGATAGATTATAAAAGGTTTTAGGATGCGTCCCTGCACCTCTAGAATCCAACTCCATCCATCAAGCTGAAACTTTCTCTCCCTCTTCTTCTCATGCTCCCTGTCACTCTCCTTTAACTCCTCCGGTCACTTTCTTTCATTTGAAGATAGTTTTTTGCCCGGCGCTTGGCCGGTTACCGCTGGTGTTAAACACATGTTGGCGAATGGTTAGGTGGCTCATAGTCTGTAGTGAAGGAGCAAACAGCTGTTTGCTTTTCACCCAACAACCGCCTCACGGAGCGCTGTGTTGTCGCGTTGAGAAAGAAACCAGAGGACCATTTAGTTTTAAAGCGATATTGTTAGTGGCCGAGCGGCACGTGGAGCTCTGCTTTATTTAGGATGAGAGCTGCTTTCACTCCTCTTTGAGTTGTTTCTGCTGACCTTTAACCTTTGTGCTGCTTGGGCCTCTCAGGGTTGCTGACCTTTAACCTTTGTGCTGCTTGGGCCTCTCAGGGTTGCTGACCTTTAACCTTTGTGCTGCTTGGGCCTCTCAGGGTTGCTGACCTTTAACCTTTGTGCTGCTTGGGCCTCTCAGGGTTGCTGACCTTTAACCTTTGTGCTGCTTGGGCCTCTCAGGGTTGCTGACCTTTAACCTTTGTGCTGCTTGGGCCTCTCAGGGTTGCTGACCTTTAACCTTTGTGCTGCTTGGGCCTCTCAGGGTTGCTGACCTTTAACCTTTGTGCTGCTTGGGTCTCTCAGGGTTGCTGACCTTTAACCTTTGTGCTGCTTGGGCCTCTCAGGGTTGCTGACCTTTAACCTTTGTGCTGCTTGGGTCTCTCAGGGTTGCTGACCTTTAACCTTTGTGCTGCTTGGGCCTCTCAGGGTTGCTGACCTTTAACCTTTGTGCTGCTTGGGTCTCTCAGGGTCAGCCTTCAGCAGCGCTGCCTCTTCAGGAAAGTCACGAGGAAACCTGAACAAAAAGGGGAGGAGCATAACCTGAAAGAGCCCCCCCCGGCTGAGGCTCCTCCCCACCGACGCTCCTCCCCCCCCCAGCCGGAGCAGCGACCCCCCCCCCTCTCCGCCAAGAGACTTCGGACTCCTCCTGAAGCCCCTCGTCTTCACCGTGGGGGTAAATACCTTTACTCCTCCTCACAGACTAACTCCTCCTCCTCACAGACTAACTCCTCCTCCTCACAGACTAGCCCCTCCTCCTCCTCACAGACTAGCTCCTCCTCCTCACAGACTAGCTCCTCCTCAGGTCACAGACTAACTCCTCCTCACAGACTAACTCCTCCTCCTCACAGACTAGCTCCTCCTCCTCACAGACTAGCTCCTCCTCCTCACAGTCTAGCTCCTCCTCCTCACAGACTAGCTCCTCCTCCTCACATACTAGCCCCTCCTCCTCACAGACTAGCTCCTCCTCCTCACAGACTAGCTCCTCCTCAGGTCACAGACTAACTCCTCCTCACAGACTAACTCCTCCTCCTCACAGACTAGCTCCTCCTCCTCACAGTCTAGCTCCTCCTCCTCACATACTAGCCCCTCCTCCTCCTCACATACTAGCCCCTCCTCCTCACAGACTAGCTCCTCCTCCTCACAGACTAGCTCCTCCTCCTCACAGACTAGCTCCTCCTCACAGACTAACTCCTCCTCCTCACAGACTAACTCCTCCTCCTCACAGACTAGCTCCTCCTCCTCACAGACTAGCTCCTCCTCCTCACAGACTAGCTCCTCCTCCTCACAGACTAGCTCCTCCTCCTCACAGACTAGCTCCTCCTCAGGTCACAGACTAACTCCTCCTCAGTTTACAGGCTGCTCCTTCGGTGCGGCGGCCATCTGGCAGTACGAGTCTCTGAAGTTTCGGGTGCAAAGCTACTCCGACCAGGTCCGAGCTGATTGGCTGGAGAAGCTTCGGCCTCAGAAACGAGGAAACGTCCGCAAAGAGGTAACGGAGCTACGTCGTCACCTCTTTAAGAAACCTGAATTCTGATAGTTGTTCTCAATCTGAGCTCTGATTGGCTGTTGCAGATCAACCAATGGTGGAACAGCTTGAGCGAGGGTCAGAGGACGGTGACAGGTGAGACACTCTGCAAAACACATTCTATAAAATATGTGAAAAAAAATTCAAATAATTTCAAAACTGTGTGTGTGTGTGTGTGTGTGTGTGTGTGTGTGTGTGTGTGTGTGTGTGTGTGTGTGTGTGTGTGTGTGTGTGTGTGTGTGTGTGTGTGTGTGTGTGTGTGTGTGTGTGTGTGTGTGTGTGTGTGTGTGTGTGTGTGTGTGTGTGTGTGTGTGTGTGTGTGTGTGTGTGTGTGTGTGTGTGTGTGTGTGTGTGTGTGTGTGTGTGTGTGTGTGTGTGTGTGTGTGTGTTCCCAGGCATCATTGCTGCTAACGCCATAGTGTTCTGCTGCTGGAGGGTCCCCTCTCTGCAGCGCTCGATGCTCAAACACTTCACGGCCGACCCCGCCTCCAGTCAGTCGGCACAGCGTTCACACTATAATGCTCTTATATGTTTCACCAAATCTTTCACGTATATTTAGATATTATTCTGACAATTTCGACATATATTTTTTTACCACATTTTCAAGTATATTTCTTTCTTTTTTGTCCACACATTCTACAAATATTTTTGTCAATGATTTATGGACATTCATGTCGTTACATGTGCCACCAGTACTTTCTATATTCTTCGGACATTATTTTAAATGTTTCAGTTATTTTTCTTACAACTTTCTGAATATGTTCCACCTTTTGTTCTTGCTTTGTTGGCACATTTTATCCGCACAGTTTGCACATATTTCTGGTAAATCTCTCAGACATGTCGACATATTTTCCTGTGACCCTTTCTAACGTGTTTCCTGTCCCCCCCGTTAGAGACCCTGTGTGCCCCCATGCTTCTCTCCACCTTCAGCCACTTCTCCTTCTTCCACCTGGCGGCCAACATGTACGTCCTGTGGAGTTTCTCCTCCAGCGCCGTGTCCATGTTGGGCCGAGAGCAGTTCCTCGCCCTCTACCTGTCCGCAGGTAATCAATACATACTGTGATACCTTCTTTCAATCACAATCACAATCTCACGTACGAGGAATTTGACTTGGTGTCGTGGTGCATACATAAAAGTAAAAAGAAAAACACAGATCTCTGTCTCTCTCTCTGTCTCTCTGTCTCTCTCTCTGTCTCTCTTTCTGTCTCTGTCTGCAGGCGTCGTCTCGTCGTTCTTCAGCTATTTCTGTAAAACAGCGACCGGGAGGTTCGGCCCGTCTCTTGGAGCCGTGAGTCCAACACTGATTTATACTCTTTATTTTCGGGTGAAACAACATATAGAGAAATAAAATTAATGTGCTGCTTATGAGAGTTTTAATACCTCTTTCTTAAAAAGAAGCAAAAATTATTATTATTATTAAATTGAGAAAATCCCCCAAAAAGAGTCGTGAATTATAAATGAAATCTCAGAGAATATCAGGTTTTTTTCTCTCTTAAATTTCCATTTGACTCTCAGAGAATATCAGACAAAGAAATGTGATTTAAATCTCGTATTTTCCTGGTAAATTTACAACGTTATTGTCAGAGAATATCCGGCGAGAAAACGTGTGAATCTCCAAAAATATGCAGATTATTTTCCATCAAATGTTCAGTCTTTTTCTCAGATAATATCCCTGATATTTCCTGATTTATTTAAGATATGTCTCCCATGTGTTCTCCCAGAGACTCAGAAAGTGACAGTAAAAAAAGAAAGTGTTTATATGTAACGTAAAATCCATATTTCTTCAAGGTAAATGAAATCCTGTTTAGTGTCTGGGTGTCCCGTCGGCCTCCTGTCTGAGTGTCTGGGTGTCCCGTCGGCCTCCTGTTTAGTGTCTGGGTGTCCCGTCGGCCTCCTGTCTAGTGTCTGGGTGTCCCGTCGGCCTCCTGTCTGAGTGTCTGGGTGTCCCGTCGGCCTCCTGTCTGAGTGTCTGGGTGTCCCGTCGGCCTCCTGTCTGAGTGTCTGGGTGTCCCGTCGGCCTCCTGTCTGAGTGTCTGGGTGTCCCGTCGGCCTCCTGTCTGGGTGTCCCGTCGGCCTCCTGTTTAGTGTCTGTGTGTCCCGTCGGCCTCCTGTCTGAGTGTCTGGGTGTCCCGTCGGCCTCCTGTCTGGGTGTCCCGTCGGCCTCCTGTTTAGTGTCTGGGTGTCCCGTCGGCCTCCTGTTTAGTGTCTGGGTGTCCCGTCGGCCTCCTGTCTGAGTGTCTGGGTGTCCCGTCGGCCTCCTGTTTAGTGTCTGGGTGTCCCGTCGGCCTCCTGTCTAGTGTCTGGGTGTCCCGTCGGCCTCCTGTCTGAGTGTCTGGGTGTCCCGTCGGCCTCCTGTCTGAGTGTCTGGGTGTCCCGTCGGCCTCCTGTCTGAGTGTCTGGGTGTCCCGTCGGCCTCCTGTCTGGGTGTCCCGTCGGCCTCCTGTTTAGTGTCTGTGTGTCCCGTCGGCCTCCTGTCTGAGTGTCTGGGTGTCCCGTCGGCCTCCTGTCTGGGTGTCCCGTCGGCCTCCTGTTTAGTGTCTGGGTGTCCCGTCGGCCTCCTGTTTAGTGTCTGGGTGTCCCGTCGGCCTCCTGTTTAGTGTCTGTGTGTCCCGTCGGCCTCCTGTCTGAGTGTCTGGGTGTCCCGTCGGCCTCCTGTCTGAGTGTCTGGGTGTCCCGTCGGCCTCCTGTCTGGGTGTCCCGTCGGCCTCCTGTTTAGTGTCTGTGTGTCCCGTCGGCCTCCTGTCTGAGTGTCTGGGTGTCCCGTCGGCCTCCTGTCTGGGTGTCCCGTCGGCCTCCTGTTTAGTGTCTGGGTGTCCCGTCGGCCTCCTGTCTTAGTGTCTGGGTGTCCCGTCGGCCTCCTGTCTGAGTGTCTGGGTGTCCCGTCGGCCTCCTGTCTAGTGTCTGGGTGTCCCGTCGGCCTCCTGTTTAGTGTCTGGGTGTCCCGTCGGCCTCCTGTCTGAGTGTCCTGGGTGTCCCGTCGGCCTCCTGTTTAGTGTCTGGGTGTCTCGTCGGCCTCCTGTCTGGGTGTCCCGTCGGCCTCCTGTCTGAGTGTCTGGGTGTCCCGTCGGCCTCCTGTTTAGTGTCTGGGTGTCCCGTTGGCCTCCTGTTTAGTGTCTGGGTGTCCCGTCGGCCTCCTGTCTGAGTGTCTGGGTGTCCCGTCGGCCTCCTGTTTAGTGTCTGGGTGTCCCGTCGGCCTCCTGTCTAGTGTCTGGGTGTCCCGTCGGCCTCCTATCTGAGTGTCTGGGTGTCCTGTCGGCCTCCGGTTTAGTGTCTGGGGTGTCCCGTCGGCCTCCTGTCTAGTGTCTGGGTGTCCCGTCGGCCTCCTGTCTAGTGTCTGGGTGTCCCGTTGGCCTCCTGTTTAGTGTCTGGGTGTCCCGTCGGCCTCCTGTCTGAGTGTCTGGGTGTCCCGTCGGCCTCCTGTCTAGTGTCTGGGTGTCCCGTCGGCCTCCTGTCTAGTGTCTGGGTGTCCCGTCGGCCTCCTGTCTAGTGTCTGGGTGTCCCGTCGGCCTCCTGTCTGAGTGTCTGGGTGTCCCGTCGGCCTCCTGTCTAGTGTCTGGGTGTCCCGTTGGCCTCCTGTTTAGTGTCTGGGT